TGCAAGAAAGATGAGGATGATGAAGGCAGGCTCTACACAGTGGCACATGAGAGGAGGACAACAGACATAAGCTGAAACAAGGGAGGTTCAGACTGGATATGAGGAAACACATTCCCAGTATGAGGACAGTTCAGCACTGCTCCAGGATGCCAGAGAGGCTGTGCTGCCTCCAACATCAGAGGTTCCCAAGACCTGACTGAGTAGCCTGGTCTGACCCCAGAGCTGGCCCTGCATAAGCAGGAGGTTGGGCTGGAGACCTCCTGCAGCTCCTTCCCACATGAGCCATCCTGTGATCCTACAGTGCCCAAAGGCACCCTGTGCCCAAGACACACAGTGCATCTGGAGCTGAGTCACTGCCAAACGCTGGCCTTCCTGTCTAGGAACAGGACTGGTGACTGATCCTTCTCCCTTGCTGTGGGACCTCCACCAAACCCACAGCTACCAGATGGCTAAAAGCTGCCTCCCCCCAGCACTAGCAGAGACAGGGGGAGCAGGGAGCCTCCCAGTGCTCTCCCAGGCATGCTTAACCACAACATATTGTTCTGGGCATCGCACAATAACCCCAGACAGAGCGGGGCATCGTGGGGGGGTGGGATCGGGATCCACAGTCATGTCCAGGCTGCTGCGCATCACCCTTAGGAACAAAGCCTTGCGGGAGAGGGCAGGGGGCTGTGCCTGCCAGTCCTCCCTGCCTAGTGCAGGCCACAGGAGGGGTGAGGAGCGCAGCCCTCCTCCCTCTGTTGCAATCAGCATTTGATTATCCCAAACCAGCAGTTGTAAAAGTCCCCCACTCATCTGGTAACAATAATGAGCAGGGGAACAGCTTGTCCCTTGCCTGGCACCACATCATTCATCAGGCAATGCAGCCAGAAACGCACGTCCCCATGCTTCTGCTCTGAGTCTCTGCCACTCTTGCCTCTTGCTTGAATACAAATTGAACCCAGCAATGGAAAACTGGAGGTCCACAAGCACTCCTGTTCCTGGGTCACATTCCTGTCACTCCATGACTTTAAGACCTCAGCTCAGCACAAATGCTGTTATATACTGTGCATTAAAAATGGGCAGGGGCACCTCATACCAGACCATGTTGCTCGAGGCTCTGTCCAACCTGGCCTTGAACACCGCCAGGGATGGAGCATTCACAGCTTTCCTGGGCAACCCATTCCAGTGCCTCACCACCCTTACAGTAAAGAACTTCTTCCTTAGATCCAATCTAAACTTCCCCTGTTTAAGCTTGAACCCATTACCCCTTGTCCTGTCACTACAGTCCCTAATGAAGAGTGCCTCCCCAGCATCCCTAAACCCCCCCTTCAGATACTGGAAGGCTGCTATGAGGTCTCCACGCAGCCTTCTCTTCTCCAGGCTGAACAGCCCCAACCTTCTCAGCTTGTCTCCATATGGGAGGTGCTCCAGTCCCCTGATCATCCTCATGGCCCTCCCCTGGACTTGCTCCAAGAGCTCCATGTCCTTCTTTATGTTGAGGACACCAGAACTGCACACAGTGCTCCAAGTGAGGTCTCACAAGAGCAGAGAGGCTGCTGCCTGGGAGAAATGCATAGCCTGAGGCTTAAGACCAGTGAACTGAGCTCAGTTCAACACTGCAGGACAGAGGCAATAGCCAGCTTTCCTAGGGGCCCCCAGTAAAGCAAAGAGAAAGGGAGAGCTGACCATTTCTCTGTGTACTTTGGATGTATGGTTGTTTATTGTTATATCATCTGCTTTCCTGTTTGCGTTGCCTCTCTTCCTTTCAGTGAAATACTGTTCTCTTAATTCTCTCTGTTCACAAATGGGGAAGAATAGCTGGGAAGGGAAGTAGGGGAAGAAGAGCTGGAGCATGGCAGTGGAAGAAGGAGACCAGAGGCAGAATGGTGGGGAAAGGCTTGCAGGGCAGGATAGTTCCTTGACTGCCCAGGCTGGTTTGGCTATATTTTCCCACGTTTCTGGCCAGAAACTAGCGATGTGTTTGCAAGGATCCTTAGAAAGAAGGGATTCCTTAACTGCTCTCTTGCTGCTGCCAGAAAGATTGCATTTATTACAGTATTACCCCTAGACAGGACATCATCTAGAGCTTTTAGAGCTGTGACCTGTCATTTCAAAGACAACTTGCCCCATAGACACTTAAGAGCTTAAAGAGGAGGTTCACAAAGGTGAAATGGAAAGAACTGGGCTAAAAGCAGCAATGTGGTAGCTACATGGCTAGCCCTGTACTACCTCTAAGTAGGCTTATCCCATAGGCATGGAACTGGCTATCCAACCATCCTCCTGCTACCCAGACAGCAAGTGCCCCTCAGTGATAGGGCAGAGCTCAGGCTGAGATGAAGTCTGTTTGGCAAGCTCTTAGGTTGGTTCAAGATGAACTGCTTAAGCCATGTTGAAGGTGATTTGAGCTCAGGGAGTGGGACTTATCCTCTGTTCTCCCTCTCATGCAGCCTGAGTTTACCTGCAGCGGCAAACAGACCACAAACCACCGCAGGAGAGGGTCTGAAAGCTGCCAAAGGAACAGAGAACTGCCTAGTCTCTAGGAAGGACCTGGTAAAATGGGAGGGATGTGTTCTTCACGTGAGCTGGCCTGTGACCCAGGTGCTGCTCTGCACATCAAGCCCTGAGAAGGGACGTTACCCTCTCCAGCAATAACCTGCACTAAAGATGCTCTCTTCCAGGGTAATTTAGCACCAGCGCTAATTCTAAATTTCCTGGAGGAGTATTTGCACGCAGCAGAAATGTGTGAAGGCAGGAGAGTGCCAGACTGCAGGGAGTTTTCTGATGGCTCTTCTTGCCTCCTAAACTGGTGCTTAATGCAAGGCTTGGGCTCCCTTGTGCTCGAGGTCTTGCTGCCTGGGCCTTTGTCTCCATTGAAAGCTTATCATGGCATAACTAGCTCCTTATACAGCCCACCAAGCTACTCTAACCGACATTAAGTCTACAAATTAGTCTTTAAACTACGTCTGCTTATGCGATGATTAAATAGCCTGAAGTGATTTAAATCATCCAAACTTGGGCGAGGCTTTTAAATGGTTGTGCAGGACTGCAGGAGCTCACGGACGATGTGCCATCTCATTACCTCCAAGCCACTTTGCCCTGCTCCCCATGGTGCTGAGGACATCCAGCCACCGCTTGGACCCTGGGCAACTGCCTACAGCCACAGCAGGCTGCTCCATGATGCTTCCACCACCGCCTGCTCTGGGGAAAAGGCTGCCTCAGCACTCAGATGATGTGGCTGGGAACACCCAGCCCTGCCAGGGCTGAGGCTGCACGAATCCCGGTGATTCAGAGACCTGGCATGTTCCCAGGCTCTGTCACCTACATAGGCTGTGAGTGATACGTTGCTAATTTCCCCATTGGCTTTCTCTGTACCACCCGTGACTTCATGTCATGGCCTCATGTTCCCATGAGCCCTCCCAAACCAGGGGCTCCTCCATACCCATCACCATCCACATGGATGCAGGGGAGGTTGTTTGCCTTCCTTGCCCTCCACTGTGGTGTGATCACATACCCAGGGGAGCCTCTGAAAGGCTCTGGGATCTCATTCCTGGGTGGCAGTAGCCCACGTGGAGGGAGTCCTTGCCCCTCTTCAAGGACGCTAAGTTTTACATGTGATTGTATTGCCTGCTTAGGTGTTATTTTAAACTCTTTGCATCTCTTTGCTATCACTCTGAATGATCACCCTGGGTAAGTCTGTACCCTATGCATACGCATCAAATACGATGTATAGTGCAGGGACAGAAGAGCCCTTGTGGGTTACTTCTCACCCTGACCATCCTCCCGCCATGGGCACAGTTACCTGGTGATTGCGTCCTCCTTGGCACAGACAAGTGCATAGTCCTGTGCCCCCTCAGCCACAGGATAACAGAGCAGTGGGGTGCCCCTTATATCAGGGGAGTGGAGGAGACCTTCAGCTGTGACTAAGATCACTCAGCAATGAGATCTGCTCTGCTGGGGGCAGCGGGGGGGGGGGGTCTGAGCAAGGTCACTTGGGAAGGGACGTTCTCCTGAGGCCCCAAATACAACCCCAAGGCTGCACATCGTCTTTGAGCTCTTGCTCAAGCAAAAAAGTGCTGTGCTGAGTGGAATGAAGCCTGCTGGGTTAGAGATGGTGGGAGTTAGTTTCTGGTTCATCCCCGTACTGGGAGGGTTTAGGCTGGATTAAGCAGTGGCTACCCATGCCACTATGAAGGCCCTTCTGCAGGTGATACTAAGCATAAAGATAGCAGCATAGAATCATAGAATAAATCATAGAATCATAGAATAGTTAGGGTTTGAAAGGACCTTAAGATCATCTAGTTCCAACCCCCCTGCCATGGGCAGGGACACCTTACGCTAAATCATATCACCCAAGGCCTCGTCCAACCTGGTCTTGAACACTGCCAGGGATGGAGCATTCACAACCTCCCTGGGCAACCTATTCCAGTGCCTCACCACCCTAACAGGAAAGAATTTCCTTCTTATATCCAATCTAAACTTCCCCTGTTTAAGTTTTAACCCGTTACCCCTTGTCCTGTCACTACAGTCTCTAATGAAGAGTCCCTCTCCAGCATCCCTATAGGCCCCCTTCAGATACTGGAAGGCTGCTATGAGGTCTCCATGCAGCCTTCTCTTCTCCAGCATCATGAATGCCAGGTAGTCAGACAAAACAGGGATCTTGCATCCACAGCTAACATGGATCACAGATTTGCAAGGGGGGTTATTGGGTGTCTTTTTGTGATGTTGAATGTACAAGACTGCACAACCCTCCCAGGAAAGCAGCTGGCTTTGGGAAACTCCTACCGAGTTTTGCAGTGGTCTCCCAAAGCTCTGCAAACCAACCCATCACCCTTGCCACTTCCCCATCCCATTCATGTTGGGCTCAAAGGAGCAAGACTACATGTTGTCTTCTACTTAATGTGTAGCTCTTGGCTTTGCTGCTAACTCTCTGATCATAGCTATGATGCTTAATTTGCTGCTTTGATTTCTCCAATATAAGTTTAGGGACACTGCAAGACTTTCAGATACATGCATAAAAATGATCTTTATCATTTTCATTTCCAACTTCATGACTATCAAGATGCTCCAGCTAAGAGCAAGGCTCAGCTTTGTGAGGCACCGTTCAAGCCTCAGCTCAAGAGCACTAGCATCCAAGGAGAAGCAGGAAGTATATGAAGTGCCCAGAGTCATAGTGGTTTTGGTGAGGTTGCGATGAGACTCCAGGCTTCAAAACATGGGCCTTGCTCCCAAGCTGAACTGAAGGACCTTCTGCAGAATGAGGCTTTGTATAATTAAAGGGATAACCCTCCCCTGAGAGAAGCATTAACTTTACATCAGTTCATCATTTTTCCTCTGAAAGGTGCAGACATGACTGCTGGGCTTACTCCACCTGCACTGAACTTGGCATGCATTCAGATGGAGATGATAAACTGTTCTGCTTTACAGCACCTGCGTTGCTGTAACTGCTCTGGGGGCAGAAAGGAAATGTCTTTACGAGCCACTGACCTGGAAAGGATTTGCTGTGCCAGCCCCATATGCCCTTCTCCCCTTTCTTGCCAGAGGTGAAGATGGAGTGCCAGCTGTGCTGCGTGTGCAGCCTCATCTCCCCACCTTACCTGCTGGTTATCTCACAGCCGTTACCCTGGGCACTGGGTTAAAGTGGTGTTTATGCACTCACTCTTGCCTTCTCCTTTCTTGAGGTCCTCTGTGAAAACAGGCTTTCCAGATGTGCCCTGGCCTTTTCCAGAAAAGAGATAAGCTCAGGAACAATGGTGATCAAACAGCACCACATTTCATTTCCCAGCTGCCATCCCCAGCTCCTTGCCCATGGGCTACCTAGGCAGAACATCCATCAGTTATAACACACCACCTCTCCTTCAAGATGCTTCTCAGTCAGTGGAATCAATATAATACATAAAAGTGACTTGCTGCTGGCAAAAGAAATTAAGGTAGGGACTAGAGTCTTTACAGGGATACCCAGGCTCATCTTAGCTCTATATTGGAGAGTATGATTTTGTTTTCCCACAGTGTAAGGTGAGAAAAGCTCATTTAATAAGATGGCAAGAAGTACATTCTGTCCCAGTCTGGACAAATGGCCACAGGGGAGCTGCTCTGTCTGCTGATCTGGAGGATGTTCTCATGCTCTTTTTCAGTTGCCGTTTCACACTGGAAGACCGATGTTTTCTCATCTCTCCTCAACAACCCAAAAGACCTTTCTGCAGACAACCCTATTTGCCATGGATCTTGCTAGAAACCACTGTGTTTATATATGTGTGTGTATATATATCTCTATACATTCCTGCTGGGACCATCTGCTCTTGGTAGACATTTCCCTCCCCAGTTTCCTGGAGATCATAAGGAGGGCCAGAAGGGCGAGAACTCCCACCCAAACTATCCTTTCCCTCACCCACGGAAGTCTACTGGTTATGTTGATTTAACTTCCCAATTTATGTTAATGCAAGTGATAACTGTAGTTTCTGTATGAATCAGAGCTGCATATTTTCCCATACAGTGACTGCTTTCCCATAACAGCAAAAGAACATAGAAATGTTCTGTTTCTACAGGATATGTGGAAGCAATGGTCCATGTACAGAGAATGTACAGAGAATGAGAAAGTCCAAAAGTAAATTATGTCTGCCCCATTAGCCTGGCTTCTTCTATTCCAAATAAGAGGAGAGAAATCACTTCCCAGAATGCTTCTAAAAACTTCAGCAAGTTACGGTGCTGTAGCGAATTCTTTAGCATCTCCCCCAAAACTTCCTTCGGTGAAACAATTCCTCCAATCTCATGAACATGCTTTAAACAGCCTCAGATGATGAAGCAGGACCACTGGGTTTTCGCTGTGAGAGAGGAGGGCTTGCCATCAAAGAGAAGATGGTATCTGGGGGCAAACCAGGTTGGTGGATGTCCCTCCATCACTCACTCAGACTCCTGCCACCATCTTAGCAAAAACCAAGGAGTCTCTGGTCAACACGAGCAGCGAGGTTCACCAACTCTGATTAAAAATACCCTTCTTCTTGTTCATTTTAACAGAGTTAACAGTTCACTGACCTGGCTGATCCCCGAGGCCTGTATGTGCATTACTCATGGGGTGGCACAAGGGGGGAAAAATGGAACGAAATGCAGGGAGGCAAGGAGGAACTTCTTGAGCTGCTGTTGCCAGCAAAAATGCAACATGAAACTCCAACCTCAGTCATTTGCTTCCCTATTTTCATTTCAAAGAATGAGAGAAGTGGAGATGCAGCAAGCTGGATGTTAATAAGCAATTTATGTCGCAGCCAGTATGAACCAGTCTAGGCAGTGTGACTGGTGTTTGTCATTACAAGGGCTGACGGGGGGAGTGAAGGGAGATTTACAGATCAGCCCACACATTTTTGGATAATCTGTGACTGCCTTTAGGTTCTGTATAAATAATAATAATTGAAAGCGGATGTAACTAATTGGAATCCATTCCATGGCAGTAACGTGATCCATCTTATTGCCAGTCCCCTGAGTCACTCTGTCCTCCAGATGATTACTTTTCTGCTTTTCCCTAATACAATCTGAACACTGCCTTTCACATTGCTGGTGGATCCACTGTGCGTTGGTACTGCCAGGGCATTTCAAACCCTCTTCTAGCCTGGACACAACCATTCTGGTTAGCTCTGCACCAGTGGAGCAAGATTTGCCCTATGTTTAACCAGGAAGCTGTACATTTTCCAACTTAAAAACCCCTTCAGCATCCCAAAATCTGGTGTTACCTGTTCTGCTATCGCCTATTATTTGCCCCATTTATTTTGAATTAAAAACAGCAATGGGCATTCCTGGTTTCCTTCTGGGCAACCTTACTGGGTCTTGCTTTGCATCATGATCTCTGTCTGGGATGAGGCTCCCCTTCCCTGACCTCTTGGGAAGAGCATGTTGTTCCCAGGTTTGGTGGCCCCAGGGGAAGACAAAACTCAAAGCAGGGCTCTGCAGCACTTGAATACAGCCAGCTGTAGAGGAAGGTCCTCTCCCTCTACACATGACACGATCTGTCTTATCACCCCCTGGGAACAGCAGTACTGCCACTGCAACCCCACCTCTGGGAGGAAAACTCTTCTCCAGACTCATTCCCAGGCTCCAAAGGGTTGTTGCTCCCTTCCAATTTAGATATGGGGAAAGCACAGAGAGAAAAAGTCCACCTTGGCTGGGAGAGGAGCCTTCTAGCTTGATTCAAACCTCCCTAAAACCAGGAGGAGGATTCCTGTAAGCTCCAGATAGGTTTGGATGAAACCTGCACTCCTGTAGAGCAAGAACATCATTTTTTCTTCCTCTTTTTACTTTTTTTTTTTTTTTTTGGGGGGGGGAGACTTTCTGTTATTCGTGGGGGTTCTGTGCTGCTCACTTTGGTGTGACACTGAAATCCTCCCTTACTTCATCTGCCTTTAGGATGCCTTCAGAAGGTCACCATTGGCCAAAAGGATTTCTGCAGCCTCTGGAAATAAGGCATTTGAATGTTTTCCTCCATAGGCAACCAGCAATGCAGAGTCATGTAATGCCTTGATTTGGTGCCTTCATAAAACTTCAAGGCCCTGATCAGCCTTACTCCAGGCTTTGCCCACCTCTGGCTGGGTCTCCTGATTGGACCTTGGAGCCACCCTGAAACCTCATCTCTGTCCCTGTCTCCTGGAAGGACCTTGGACTTTCATTGGAGCCCTTCCAGTTCTTTCTCTGGCTCCATCTCCTGCTACTCTTGGCTCCCTGGATAGACCTGGACCTGTTTCCATCACTTGCCACAGCCATCGACAGACGCTGTGACCAGCACCCTGCTCTGCCCACCCTGTTCAGGTACTGCAGGATGGTCCATGAGGGCAATGTCTCTGCTGTAGCCACCCTCAATTTCCAGCTAAGCCTCACTCATGCAGGGATGTGTCTGCTCCCTGACACTTCCCTCAATCACAGGGAATGGGCTACATGTTTGTAGAATCATAGAATGGTTTAGGTTGGAAGGGACCTTAAAGATCATCCAGTTCCAACCCCCTGCCATGAGCAGGGACACCTTTCCACTAGACCAGGTTGCCCAAAACCCCGTCCAACCTGGCCTTGAGCGCTGCCATGGATGGGGCAGCCACAGCTTCTCTGGGCAACCTGTGCCAGTGTTTCATGACCCTTGTAATGAGAAATTTCTTCCTTATATCTGGCCTGATGTTGGAGAATAAAGAAAAAAAAATAACACCACAACCCAAAATGTGATGGTGTTGAACACTCACCACCCTGCCATTTTTACATGCTCGCATCACCCAAGCAAAACTTCATCAAGGAAAAGAAACTATGCCTACCCCATTTACAGAGAGGATGATGGAGGGAGGTGCCAAAGCAACACACACAGCAGAGCTGGAGCAAGCACATTTCCTACACAGTGCTTCCATCCCTTGAGTCCCTGGTGGGTGGGAGATGGTCATCCTGTGGAAGTCCAGGCAGCAGAGGCAATGACACTGCGTAGGGCCCTACTTTTATTAAGAGAAAGTAGGGACAGCACAAGGGGGAATGGCTCCAAACTGAAAGAGGGGAGATTTAGATTAGATACTAGAAACAGGTTCTTCCGTGTGAGGGTGGTGAGGCTCTGGCACAGGCTGCCCAGAGAAGCTGTGGCTGCCCCATCCCTGGCAGTGTTGAAGGCCAGGTTGGACGGGACTTGGAGCAACCTGGTCTAGTGGAAGGTGTCCCAGTCCGTTGGAACTGGATGAGCTGTAAGGTCCAACCCATTCTGTGACTCCATGATTTTCATGCGCTCAGCGTGTGGATGCTTGGCACAGGGATGATTTGGGCTGGTAGGGCAGTGCTACCACTCCAGTGGAGCTCTGTGTACATCGCCCCGAGCCCCGCGGGACGGCGGGTCACCGCGGTGAACCAGCTGGGGAGCCCGGCGCGAAGCGGCGCTCCGTTAATACCCCCGGCAGAGCCGGGCGCAGTGTTCCGCCGGCGCGGAGCGCAGCGCAGGCCGCACGGAGGAAGGGGAGGACGAGGCTCCGCACCGCATGGCGGCGCCTGCAGGCAGCGCGCAACTCTTCCGCGGCCGCGGATGGAAGTCGGCGGCGTGAGGCGGGGTGGGACGGGACGGAATGCGCGGCGCTGCGCGGGGGGGGGCGCCCTTGCGCGCGGTCTTGAGAGCGCTCTTGCGCGGGCGGGTGACGCCACAAAGCGCCCCGCCCTACCGCGCCGCCCCACGTGCGCGCCGCCCCGCCGCGGCAGTGCGCAGCCGGCGGCCCCGCAGGCAGGTGGGAGCGCGGCGGGCGGCAGGGCCCCGGCCCCGGCCCCGCCATGGGCGCCTGCCCGCGCCGGCCGCCGCTGGCACCGCGACCCGCCGCCTGAGGCAGCCCCGCGGCGCGGCAGACCCGGCCCCGGCCGCCACCATGGGGGCCGCCGCGGCGTGCCCCAGCGCCGCCGTGTTCGCCGGCTTCCTCACGGTGAGTGGAGCGGGGGTGCCGTGCTCCTCTGTACCTGCGCGCTCCGCGAGTGCAGCGGCGCCGCCGGCACAAGATCCGCGTGTCCGCGGGGTGGGGACGTGCTGCAGTGCGGGGCTGCCGCCCGCCCTCCTGCTCAGGGGTGTGTGTGGGGAATGCTGCCTGGCTGGGGGGGGTGCAGGTAGGCAGGGGTATGTTTTGGGGGTATGCAGGTATTTGGGTGTCTCACCTCTCTCCTTCTTCGGCCCGTGCGGTGTGGGTGCTCCTCTGTGCTTTCACTGGGGGATGCTGCCATCCATCCCCAGCCCTGCGGCGGGCACCGGCTGGGTGCGACATCCCCTGCTCCATCCTCGCCGTCCCCTGCAGGCGGGCGAAGGGCAGCATCCTTCCCGCAGCCTTCACCCAGGTCTGCGCCCCACCTTGAAGTCTGAGCAGCTCTGTGTTTTGCCCCCGTGTCCCACTCCCACTGCTTGGCACTGGGCTGGGATCCATCCATCTATCCATCTCCTCCTAGCTGCTTTTCTCCACCTTCTGGACAGGCAACAGAATTCACAGCTGCAAACTGCCGGCGTTTGTCCTCACTTAACATATTTTCCGGCAGGTTCACCTCCAGGTTTACCTGCCCAGCTAGGGCCCTTCCCAGTCAAGCGCTTTATGGCTATGTCCCGTTTCTTTGGGAAGAGATGGTAATTCAGTGTGTCAGGCACACGCCGCAGCAGCTGTGGCTGGGTTGTGTAACCGAGGAGTGCACTTGCTCTTGAACTCAAGGTGGATTTTAGCAAGCTGGTGCTGGCTTGACAGGAATCTGTGCAAACAGAAAATATTCTAAAGCTGGGAGAGCATTAGGTGGGGAACAGCCTCCTTGCTTTGAAGGAGCAGGGTTCAGTCGTGGAGCAGCCAGGGTCCGTGGACAGTGCTGGCTGGGTGCTCCTGACTGCTGGTTTTTCTGCTGGGAGAGGCGAGTGCTGCTGTGTGTCTGGAAGATGAGGTGCTGATGGGGAGCTTGAGATACAGAGCTCCAGCTGAGGTCAGTCGGGAGTAACTGGTATGGAGGGAAGGGTGGGAGGGTAGCGGGGGAAGTGTGACATAACGGTGTAGGAAAGTACAACGGCAGTTTTGCAGAATGAATCTGAGATGAGCAGGCAAGCACCAATGCTGTTTGTGCACGCGTGTACTCAAAGCTCTGTGTGTGCTGATGGGATGAGCAAGCAGGCTGTAAAGACAAATTCCCGTTTGCTCGTGAGCTGGCAGGATGCTCCCATAGCCACCACACAGGGGTTTCTTCATCCAGCATCTTCATCTTCAGGATTTTGGGCAACCCCTTTTGTCCTTAGAAGGAATTAATGTCTTTCCAGCCTGATGGAAGTGTTTAAATCAGTAGTTGGTGGGTCTCGTGCTGGTGCAGCAAACCTGAATCCGCTTAGCCGCTTGTTTTTTGAGCAATAGCGGCTCAGCAGAGGTTGCGTAAGTCTGGTGTTGGTCATGGTTTCCCTCACTTGGTGAGTGCTTCAGGCTCCCGCTGGCTGCTGCAAGGTAGTTTCCACCATTTACCTCAGTGCCCTTGCCTCAAACCAATACGATGTCACCTTGCTTTGACTGGGGGCTTTCGGGAGCCTGAGGGATTTCATCTGCTTGGAGCACAGCTGTGGCTGCCGGAGGTGCTTTTGAGCCTTGGTCTGCACTGGCTTCAGGGAATAGCTGCTGAGTTTTCCTTCATGGGGACCAGATGTGCTGGTGCTGCTGTTTTCGCAAGCTTGGCTGCTTGTATTTCGAGATGTAGTAAAGGGACTGCTGAGCAGGGTAAGTCCCGGACTTTTGCTTTCTTAAACCCCAAAGCAGCTGAAATAGCTGGTTTGCTTTGCAAGAAGTAGAAACTTGCTTTGCTCTTCAATACTCTCCTCACAGGCAACTTTTTTGGAGTAACTTGATCCTTTTTACAGTGAGCGAGGCAGGAGGTGGGCTGCTTCTGCCTGCAAAGTTACCGTAAAACTTCCAGGACAGTTCATTTGTCTTTCTGGGTTTGTTTTTCAGTTTTTGTCTCTTCTTTCAGTGTCACAAGTGACTTCCTGGTGCTGGTTAGCAGGGGGTGCAGGCAACCTTCAGGAAGGGTGGCAGGCTGTGCAGCCTATACCTGACCTGTGCCAAGGCATTCCCGTGGAGCTTGCTGCCATTTCTACCGAATTCTGCTAGGTTTGCTTGGAAATGGTTCCTAGAGCATAGATTTAGCACTGTTGGTGCTTCTCCTGCTCTTCCCTACCAGGGGTGCCCTGTGTTTAGCTGCTTGGGTTTCTTTATTTTTTCTTTCTTTTATTTTTCGGGTTTATAGCTGCCTCTCTGCAGGGCTGGCAGCAGGGTGGCACTGTACACAACCCAAGTCTATGACTGTCTTGAGGTGTCATCCCATTCAGGACACAAATACCTGTTGATCCACTAACTTTCTGCTGGTGTTTGGACTCACTGAGGAGGTTCGGGTCCCAAATGAGCTGTTGCATTCCCAGCCACATCCCCCATTTGTGTGCCCAGGAAGCTAGTAGTCCTCTGAAAGCTATTTACTGTGTGATTTGCCCACTGGGTCTCTCCTGCAGCATGCAGTTATTTAAGAGGGTGATGGAGGCATGGCATAGATGTGACCACTGAGATAGGGTCATAAAGCTGGATGACGGCATGGTGGGTCATGCCCACATCAGCTGTGGGGTGCTGCTGGCTTGAGAGTTTGTTTGCAGCGTTTGAACGTGAAGATGCCCTTGTCTGAGCTATTTCCCTGACCCAGCCTGATCTGCTTTCCTCGTGCCATAAAACCTCCATGTGTTGGAATAGGTTGAGATGGGTGGGAGATGCCTTTGCCAGTGTGGTGAGGGTGTTGATGCTGAGTTGGGGATGCTTTTTTTGGTCCTGTCCTGCTTGATCTTTTTGGCTTCAGTGTTGAGACATGCTCCTGCACACAGAGCAGCACCAAAACTGCTTGAAACCAAATCTGCTTATTAGTGTTGTCTTGCGCCCATTCTTTTTTTCTGTTTTTTCTTGTTACTCTATGCATTTTGTTTAGTATTGGAGTAATGAACTGAAGTGCAGTGGCTGAGCAGAGCTCGCTTTGTTGTTTTGCTGCTTTCACCACTGAAACTGGGTGTCTCAACCAGAAGGGTTTAGTTTTGCATACGGCTGGGCAGTCCTGAGGATGAGGGACCAGCCAGCAGACACCCTTTTTTTGTTAAAGACATCCTTCTGCTCCTGGCCCCCTCTTTGACATATCTGAGGGGTGCCAGCCATGAAACCTGAGCAGCTGGGGTATTTTTTAGAGGACTAGAAGTGTGAAACTGAATAAATAATGGATGCTCAGCGTTGCTTAGCCTCCCTTTTTGGGGTCTTGCTGCTGTCCCTAAGCTTGCAAGCTTGTCCCTTCAGCCTGCAGCTGAAGAATTGGAGATATTTGAAAGCACCAGCGCTGCTTTGATTGAGATAGGGTTAAAAAAAACCAATAACCTAAAACCAAACAAAACCAAACCCGGCACAGGTTTGTACAGTACATTACTGTGCTGGTACCGAGATGAGTGATGGAATGATGGTGAAAATGAAAAGGGAGAACAGGGGGGATTTGTGGCACATGCAAGGTTGCCTGTGGGATTCCTGAGATCTGGCTTAATGCAGAGGGAGAAATCGGTATCTGAGACAGCA